AAACTGCCAGGGAGGTGGGATACAGCCTTCTTTTCTCCCATCTTCAAGGGTAGCGATCAACAAAACGCAACGAGTTACAGACCAGTGGCACTATTCCTAGTATCGAAGGTAATGGAAAGTCTGACTGGTAGTCCTGTCAAGTAACGTGGAGTCAAAACTTACAGGAATGATAAGACTTCATGTTGAGATATGAATGTCCCAGTCCGCGTGATCTTCCACGATTTCGCGAAGGTATTTGACACAGTTAAATATGAACTTCTTCGCCAAATAAGCCAGACTGGTATTGATGGCCCCATTTTCTCATAATTAGAGTACTATCTGGACAAAACCGAATTTCAAACCAAATCAGTCATGTCCAATAATCCTGGGAGAGTACGGCATCAAGAGTATCACGGGATTCTTTCTTAGAGCCATCGGTATTTTCGATTTTTACCAGTGACCTGTCATGCCACCAAAACTATCTAGCTCTTTTTTGCGCTGACGATCCAGGGATTTGGAGATCAGTAAAGCGTTCAGAAGATTCAGATAAGCTGCAGGCAGATCGGAAACTTCTAGGATACTCTGCACTGTTCACTGGTACGACTTTCAACCTGAAAAAAGAGAGTAGTGCAACAATGTGCCTGTAAGTGTAAGTTACTACCTGTGCAACGATAACTTGTCCTGCACAACGTCAGAGCGCGACTTAGGTCTAGTTCTAACCCCTGAATTACACGGATGACGTAGCGAGGGCATACGTGGTTATACACATCGCACAGCCAGGTGATCTCACCTTTTCCTAAGGTGCTACAAAATATACATAAGAACAGGCTTTGAAGCGCATAATATCATTGCTGCTGCGTTACTCTGAAGGGACACTAATCTTTTGGAAACAATCAAAAGACGAATGACCGAAGTGTTGATGTCTCCAAAATAAGTCATATGATGAAAGGCTGAAGAAATTCAGTCTTTTCATATTTAGCTACCATCAGCTTTGGGGTAACTTGATTAGAGCCTAAAAGATTACAAATTACCAGGATCACCCAAAAAATGGTATTTTGTCGTCAAGTACATAAGGGCCTCCTAGTGGAAATCTAGCTCACCAGACAGCAAAGACTTAGGTGTGTTCACATTTCTTTTCGCCTGGTGCTTGACGCCCACGGAACTCTCCACTGGCGGATGTGGCTACTAAAGTGTAAGTGGAAAGCTTTGAGATGAAACTGGACAATTATGAAGAAACACAAGGACTTCGTCCAAATGGTCTGTCCCTCTAAAACTCACACAATATTAATGGCTACTCATCTGAACTCATCCTTTGGTCCTGCTAATTCTCCCTTGTTCCACCATTTTGACAACTAGTTATATTGGTTCATTTTAAATACATGTATATATTTGTGTATTTTCTTTTAAAATTAATTAATCTAATCGTTTATGTTTTTCCTTTTTTGAGTCTATATAATCGTCAATATTATATCTAATACTCCTGCTTCTTATGATTTACTGTTATTATCTCTCTTTTGAACAAAGAGGTGAAAGTATTAACCACATTCACAGTAACGACACGGTTTTGACACACCTGTAAGAGTTAGACTTAGGATTTACTTCGACCTGACAATAACCGCTCTTACAAACTCCTTCACCGTTTATGACCTTAATTAGTACTCTGCCTACGTGCAAGTACTAAAGAACGGAATCAAAGTTAGAAGACTCGAAATGGCAAGTGTAACTGGACCGGAATTGTATTTACACAAAGAGATATGGAATTTGATAAGAACTAAAAAGTACACACTTATCTGGAGGTGAGACGGTTGTCGGCTCGTAGAGTGTACTAGGTGAAAGTACAGCGAGAGAGCGAGACAGTAACCGTACAGGAGGAAAACGGAGTACAAAGCGGAAGTGGGGTTAAACATGTCAGGTTGCGTTCATTCAAACAAAAGTTCAAAGGTACAATATACACTACACACCCAATTCTACAAACAGCATATCACCCATCCAGGTACTTTGGAGACTGAGGGTGTTGACGTTCATGGATAATACGATGTATACCAACGCAAGATGTTATACCCATAACTTCTGTGTATTCGTTCCGCGTAGACCAAAGACAAGGCAAAGCACCAAATTGACCACTCAAAATACGACCAAATTTGTAGCGCTAGGATGATTGCTCAAATGGTTGGGGATTTTGTACGAACGATCTAACGTAACACGACAGTGTACCAAACGGCATCGATGCTTGATCGCGAGCATTCAGCTAAACAGTTCCACTTAAACAGTGGGGGTCGGCATCCACTACTCAGTAATGAGTGCTGTGGCTAGTAATTTTGGGGTATTACCTACCACTACTATACCAATCCCCTTGGAGTGATTCAGAGCAGCGACAAGCAATGGGTGGCAGGAACTACGCAGAAGTTTATCAAAGATCAGAAGCCTTTATCTTACAACCAAGAAGCGATCACGAGGAAACTGTTTCGGTTTACACTAGGTTGTAATAGGGCTATCAGATATTGTAAGTGAAAACCGTCGAAGCTAATTTTGAAATCTCATTTGTGTCTTTTTGATAGCCCTGTCACGTATTTTTGTTTGAAAAGCCTCATGTATTTTAGTTCCTTTAGGCAAATTATATTTTAATGTGTGATAAGTGATATGGTATTCCTCTTTGTTTTAACGCTCCAATTGAGAATACACTCACCATCTTCTTAAACACCTGAGATGTTGGTCAAGATAGATGTGTAGTGTATATCTTCCCTTTTGAGATTAGTATTCCCGTCATAACGCAATATGGGCGAGCTAGATCAATTGCGTCAGGAAACTGAGCAACTTAAGAGTCAAATCAGAGTACGATTCAAGATCGGTTAAGATTTATTTTGTTTGTTTTCCTAGGAAGCACGGAGAGTTGCTGCTGATATTACTTTGCAACAAGCAACTGCGGATGTGGAGTATATTAACCGTACTCAACTGCGAAGCAGGAGGACTTTGCGGGGCCACCTGGCAAAAATATATGCCATGCATTGGTGTTCGGATTCGCGTAATCTAGTATCAGCTTCGCAAGATGGAAAATTAATTGTATGGGATGGATATACTACCAACAAGGTGTGTTATTTAGTCGTGCCAAATAATTGTTTAATGCTTATGCGATCGTCACAAATTGAGTATTGGGGATAGTTGAATAACCGGTTTTGTTTGTCCCCATCTAATTATGTATAATTTCTGATGTTAGTATGGAACTCTTTAAAGTTTTTCGTATTTCATTCGGCCGATGTACTTCACGCTTCACAGGCCAATTTTCATATTAACGTAGTGTTTTCGTCGCTGCATACGGATATGAAAAAGTAGTTTCTATGACTTGATCATCTTAGTATTCCTTATGTTGATAGAGCTCATATCTCTGGCGAAGAATCTTTAGTGGCGTACTTTTGCTGGTAATCACCTCCTCTTAAGTTGCTACACAATATTTTCTGCCCTTGGTTATAGTACTGCTAAATTTATATTAATTCGTATAATTTGAAGAATCATGTAAGCATTGATTAAACAGCTGTGTCATTCGCTTACGTAGAAACCGAAAGAGAACCATGACACTGACAACCAAGAGTAAAAGACAGAGAAGTTGGGGTATTAGATCAGTTTTCTGGTTCGTATTAAGGCCAGTCAACTTGAAGTGAAAAATAATGCGAATTTACTAGAGGTGTAACTATATTGAAAGCCCAAACTGAATAATGACTTGTAAAACCAGCAGAGGTATTTCACCTATTTCTGTTTTCTGAATAATCACTTATTTACAGAGTAATGCCTGTAATGCCAGGCGAAATACACGGGTCGAATATTAATTCCCCACCGCCTCACTTTCCGGACTCGTATGAAAAAATATTGACCAAGAAAGACTAATTTACTGGATCTTTTTAATTTTCAAAGATCGCTAAATACATTAAGCACGAAATGAGGATATTTGGTCTTCAAATTTTATCCAAGTTATAAATGTGCCGAAATTGTAGAACTTAGTTGAACTGGAGTTATGTAGAAAAAGTCTACATCAAACAAGGTGGGCTTCGGACTCGAAAGAGGGTTCTTTTACTATACAACTTATTGAGGCACAAATAGTGACCTATGCTTGACACATGCCTTACCTTCTGACTTGCAGTCTCTCTGATTCCACTAATCGAGAAAAAGTATCCTCGATATGGTTATGAGACGAGGTAATAGAAAATTGAAGCATGCTAGCTAAGAGCTTCCATTCGTAGTAATGCAGCAGTAACGGTGAATGTTCAGTTACGTAGTCCATAAAAACCGGTAGTTTCCACCTGGTATAGTCACATCATCTGTACTTAATTTTCCTATTGTTGCACCTACGGGGGTGAGTGTGTTATTTCAAAGTTTTATGTGCTTTTGGAGAGGCATTTGACAGATTTACTCCCGAATTAATGTAGATATATGCACAGTGTTGTACCATTTCAAATCGACCTACCTAGAAGCACACAAGCGTAAACATGACAGAAAGAATAAATAAACGAAGATTTGTGGAGGTTTTCAAACTTTAGATGACAAAGGCCGAATAGATTTGTGTTTTCTAGACATTAATACACCTCATAGGTTAGTGCCACGTTTATGAGTTGTGTCAGTCAATCTGGTTTTTTTTTGGATGTATCTATATATTGTGGAATTCGCTTGTGTTTAAAATCGGAAAATATACCTCTAAGACTGTTTTGTACCTTACGTGTTGTTTTCTAGCACTTCAAAATTACTCAAGATGAAACCAGCTTAAGGCTTAGAGTATGCCTATGTATACTCATGAAAAGCAGATTCGTATAACCTTTAAGTAATTAGTTAGTTCTACTTTATTTTTCCTTCTTTAGATACACTTAATTTGGCTTATTCATCAGTCTTAATAGAAGTTTTCGCCATATATTTGCTTTGCTAATGTGTTAGTGACTGACATGTATTTAATCAATTGTCAGCATGCACAACCTTATAATGTTTTGTAATTTTGATTACCTCAGGTTCATGCTATTCCTCTGAGAAGCAGCTGGGTTATGACATGCGCATACTCACCCTCGGGTAATTATGTAGCATGTGGCGGTTTGGACAACATATGTTCAATATATAGCCTAAAAACACGTGAAGGCAATGTTCGGGTTAGTCGGGAGCTTCCTGGCCACACTGGTTATCTATCTTGTTGCCGTTTTGTGAATGATAGCCAGATAGTTACCACATCAGGTGATGGGACTTGGTAAGTTTAGTTACTTTTGTGTAATTCAGTACAAATGAAATTTAGCCTTTCTGTCATACTTTCATTTTCGCATAGGTCGTTTCATTTCAAGTTATAAACTACGTTATCACCTGGAATGACTTGTAAATGTCACGTTCTTATCGTTCAGTGTATATATCTCCTACTTTGTTGAGAATTCATCATTCCGATAGCATTTTATGTACCATAGTTACATTTGTTTTGAGTTTTACTGCAATTTTCTTTCTATTTTTGGCTTAGTTTAATGTAGGCTGTATCTTGTTTCCTGAAATTTCCTGAAATCCTAATCAATCTGTATTAAATACAACTTCCAGGTAGTTACTGTCGATACATATAAGTATCGTGTCCTTACTGGATTTTTATTTACAAGCATTTGATAAACGTGTATGTGAAACCATTTTCACAGCAACTCAGAAGTGGCTTTTAGAGAAATGACAAAAATTATGCAATCATTCACAAGTAAAGATTTGAAATTTGACGGAAGAATTGTTGTTAAATGCAAAACATGTTGGTTGATTGTCCTAATTGACGAGTGTGGAAGTAATGTAGAAATAAGATGAAATGCTCAAAGTGGACGCGTAAGAGTGACAGTAGTGAATTGCTGTCTAAAAAGAGAATCGAATAGTTGAGGGAAAGTTGAAGAAAGTTATAGAGTAAGGTTAAATAAACGTAATATACATGGCTAGTAAGCACTCCATATTATGTCATTATTAGCTTGAAATAGTAAAATTTGCACTTTCAGTGGTGGTAGTGGTTTGTAGCTCCTATGTTTCTGGTGCTGTGTTCTCTAAGAAGGATATTCTAATCGCTTTCCAAGACAAATCAGCATGATTATAAATGACGCTAGAGATGTAGTATGTCGATAAATTTATGGAGATAATTCAAACTGTCAAAACCAAGTAGTCAGGGTCACTTCTTTTTGTAGTGTGGTAAATTAAAACAAGCTATTTGACAGCATGTATGGCATGTATGTATTCGATTCTTGTCTTCTTCGAAGTTTTGAATATCATCGTTCTACATTAAATCATTCTTTCTCTTCTATACACGCTTGTTTCTCCTTTTTTTTGAAGTGTGTCAACCTAAGATAATGTTTCCTAGTAAGTTCATAATCTAATTCTCCACTGGAAGTCAGAAGCAAGTTAGCGGTGTGGAATTTAGACATACGGTATTAAGTATGAAAAGTAATTATTATTAATCTCCAGTACCTGAGGTGGCTATGTCACATCTGCTTATTTCCCGTTTGTCTCGTATTGTTGTGCTAGGACTAAAGCAGATTAGGTAAGGACGTGACCCTAAAAAAGTCATCTGCCGTTGTTACGAACCGTGTGTATTCAATTACTGAAACTTATAGAGACAAAGTTAATCAGACAGCAACTAAAGTAAGATTGAGTTAGTAAGCTAGATGACGTAATATAATTGACTAAAATGTTACAACTTAGGTCAGGATAGCAACAGAGGTAATTACAGGTAGAGATTAAGTAGAAGTGAAATTGAGTAAATAAGTTGGATGACGTAACATAAATGACTAGAAACTGAGCGATGTTCAAATCAGTAACAGTGGTAGTGAGGTGCAGAAATTGAATCGGGTTGGGGTAGAGAACAAGAAAGTTGAAAATGTAAAATATTACAATTGAGAAGACAAAATAATACTAATGAAGAGACAGAAGAAAAGATTAGGTAGAATTTACTTGTCGGCTAATAAGATAGATTACGTCCATTGCAAGTGTAGTGATTGAACGAACTTCTTCTGTATGCAGAGTTCAGGACTTAGCAAGTGAATCGTCATTGCTTCTGCAGTTTGAAGAAGTCTGATTCGTACACCTTTAGGAAGACTACTTCTTACTCTGTAGACGACTTTGAAGTTTGTTTGAGGTGTAGCTTGGTGTCCGGATTCTATCAGATGTTCTAAGATGGAACTGCGGGGGCATCGATTTTCTCCTTTGTAAAACCATGTTGGTAAGTGCTCTCTTTTTCATATGACTCAATGGTGATTTTCAATCTAATGAAACCTATAGATAGCGACTTATTACAGCACTAAAATCTATCATAATTACATTCTTCCTTTCGAGCAAATTTCTACATTGACTCGTTGTTGGTGTCTTCATCTTATTTTCGAAATTCTTTACTGATCTTATCATTCTTTTGCCTCCTTTTTTACTACCTACTGAATATCCGGATATAGAGTGTAGCAACTCTAGAAGGATAACAAAAACGTAGCAATTAAATCAGCCTCTCAGAGAATACAACGGAATTAATAACTTACCTATATTGTGCTAGGTAACGAAAAAAATTCCGAAATCAGTCTCTGTCATTCACAACAGTTTCTAAGGGTTACACAGAAAGTATGAATAATGCATATATAACTTTGATAAACTAAAGTTTTCTTTAAATCTTCCGTAGTTTACCGTAACCAATGAAGCTGGATGTCTTTGTAGTGTTGTATTATTGATCAATATTGTTGCGTTTTCGTGTAGTGGGTTACTGATTCGCATCTAGAGGTCGTCCTCATTTGTAATAAACATCACTCCTGAGAGCATTCATAGTGGTGGCTAATAAAACAGCCTTCGTGTGTCATCCATTACTTCATTACGAAACATTTCTGAGGATAATTAGAAGTAAGTTACTCGACATCATAAAAATTTAGCATTTAAGATTTGTCTTAAATTTATCTCTGTATACGTAACGTTGAAACCTTTTTTGCCTTTTGTTGTCATATCCCCATTCTTACGCTTGCATCTTCATGTGAAATATGCAATCAACAAGCGGATAAAGTATACAACTGCCGATGGCGATTTCAAATCAAAATTGACCATAGCCAGTGCGAAGTTAAGTTTTTAGGCATCAATAGAAGGCGTTTCTCAATAGCTCTCTACTACAAGTGGTTTAAGCTGCAACTCAGCAGTTATCAGTTCATTTCACTAAATGCTACTGATAGATTGTCTGATATGTAAGTAGTTGGGCACCACTGACATCAGCGAGTAGTGATTGTTGGTCGGGTCGAAGTGATCGAAACATCGGATGGCTGTTTTACTCATTTTAGGCCAAACTTATCAGCCTTGTACTCAGTTTGATGTGGGTGTTTATCTAACTTCGCGTACCAGTCAATCAGGAGTATATAGCAGCATGCTTTTATATTCTGTCCGTTGACTGCCGTTTATGATATCAAGCAGATGATGTATTGTGATCTGAATAATTTTGTGGTGAAATTCCACGTCTAGCTGTTTAATTTGCGAATGACACATTTGAATCGCTTGTCGGTTCGACTACTCAATAAAACCTTATAAATAAGTTTAGTCAATGTAATCACTAAATTTATCAGAATTGTGAATTCATTGCTAGTATGATTTTGGAATATCAGATTTAAAAAAATATCCTCACAGTTAATGTTGTGTACTATTCTTTAACCTTAAAAATGAGTTTTTATCTGCACACTGGTCATAATAGAGAAGTTAAGCCCTGTGATATATTAAATATACTTTTGATACATTCCATTTTTTCGTCTGAAACGAGGCGGTATTAGTTTTTCATTGACTCTAAAGTGTATGTTGTGACTCGGTGCGTGCAATAAGTTACTTTTGGGATTCACTTTCGTAGCTGCTGAATATGTATTTCAAATTTTCAAAATCATAAGTAGAATTAAAATATTATTCTTCGATTCATTTCATCTGCTTTGTTTTAGTCGATGTAGAATTTATAGTACTGATTTCCGTTTCTGTCACATTTTAGTGCACTTTGGGATATTGAAACTGGACAACAGATTGCTTCTTTTACCGGACACACAGGAGATGTGATGAGCTTGAGTCTTGCACCAAATCTCCAGACATTTATTTCGGGTGCATGTGATGCTTCTGCAAAGGTTAGTCCCATGTACTGATGTAACATTCAATTACAACCAAAAAGAAAACTATCCGAGAGGATATTTAAACGTTAACTATTTTCCATTTTGTTCTCCTCAGAAGAAAGAGGCTAGCATAGCTTTTTTTATCCAGTAATCTTTCTGTATCGAAATGTTAACTTTACCTGTTAGTAACTTATTGATGATGTTTAAATTTTTGAATGAAGTTCTATTTACAAGCTTTCGGTTGATATTTAATTTTTAAAACTGAACTAGTAATTTGATTAGGCACTAGGTAGTAACTAATGCCATGCGTGTCTAATCCTCCGTTAGGTGCAGACTGAATTCTCAGTCAGCTTTACCATATGGCCAGTATACTATGCCAGGTGGCCTGCCATCACAATACCTTCTGAATTGTAGTCACTAGATGATTGGAAGCAATCGCCAGGAAGCCTTGGATTTAGGTTTCATGCTTGTAGGCACCCACCAGGGACTTATGTTCCTTCTGAGGTTCGAGCCCGGGTCGCCGAGTGATGCAGTCAGACACTATGGGGACATGAGTTCCCTCAAGATTGCAGATACGCCTTGCTGACGAGTGCTAACAAGCACGAAACCTAGGTCCAAGGCGTCCTGTCGATTAACTCCAATCATTTAACAAATTGGTAATTTTTTATTACAGTGGCATTATTTCTTCATTCTTAGTTTTGGGAAGCAATGATTGACGGCTTTTGTGTCATCTGGTTTTTGTTTCCAAAACGGCTAGCCGTTATTGTAAATTCACTCCCTACAATTTTTATGTAGCGGTTTTCTGATGATTAGTTGAACCAGATGCGAGAGATTTGACAATATCTCTTTTCGGCATGAGTGAAGAATAGATACTGCGGCCAAATGACCTTGAGCCAATCGATCAAATCGCTAAACATTACAGGTGAATGCTTTTCATAATTTTTTTGCAAGTTTCAACCTGATTCACGGTTAGGAATACGGTGTAGGGTTGCGGTTAAGGTTAGGGTGAAACTTGCGATGAAGATTAGGGCTAGGATCCATCAGATATGTTAACCAATTTATCTATCATCATCAGATTATATTCATTATAGATAAGATTTTATTTTGATAAGTCACACATTATTACACAATAATATTAAATAATGACGTTTCCAACACAAATTATTGCTCATAATCATATCAAGCTACCCACACAACTTTTTCCTTCATTCATATACATTTGTGGAATTGACCAGATATTTGAATAAAAATCAACATGTGATAATGTACATTCAGAAATAATAATATGAGTGTTATTGGTCAATTACAATCAGATGGGAAATAAGGCAAGTGTTTTTATAGTCATAATAAGTAACTTGTTAGAATGTTCTGATGTGCTTGAATTGAAATAGAACTTTGAGATTATTTGTTATCCTCTTCTAATTTGACTGGCGGTAATAATATCTTCCATATTTCTGGTATTGGTGAACATAGACAAGACGAAGGTTATGAAAACAACCAACCAACCAACAACAACAACAGCAGCAACATCCAGCGCCAATCACCATCAACAGGAGGGATTTGAAGGAGGTTACTTCACTCACTTATCTAGGGAGCATTGTCTCAACTACAGGAGGAACGGACGAAGATGTCAAATTGAAAATTGGAAAGGCGTGAAACACATTCATCAACCTGAAACCAATCTGGAAATCTTCGTCACTCCTCAACATCAACAACAAAATTCGGATTTTCAATACAAACGTCAAGTCAGTTCTTCTATACGGATCAGAAACTTGACGGGTCACAAAGAATATTTCCAACAGCCTGTTGCAGACCTTTGTCAACAACTGTCTTCGTTCTATACTGAAGATCAGATGGCCGGAAAGAACAAGAACCAACAAGAAACTATGGGAACAAACAAAACAAGAACCAATCGCCCAACAAATATTCAGGAAAAAGTGGAGATGGATTGGATACTCGCTGAGGAGGCCGTTGGGTGATATCGCGCGTCAGGCCAATGCTCGAGTGGAACCCGAAAGGGGGCGGCGAGTGGGACGTCCAAGGGTGACATGGAGGAGATCGTGTGAAGAGGAGTTGAAACAGGTGAAGACAGAAGCAAGTGAGACGTGCAGTTGAAGCTCTGTGTTACGCTAGGAACCCAAGAGAACGAAAATAATAATACAATAATATTTCTGGTATTTGCATTGAGTCATTTCTGTTGCATGTGTTGGGTGTAGACTCAATGAACCAGGATTCAGTAGTCAATCTCTCTCTCCACCTACATAGATTACATCTTAGAATATTAACCCTCTCCCACCCTACTGTGTCGTTGTGTGTTAATGCATGTAGTGCAATTGCTGAGCTTTTTTCTAAATTACTTATCTTCTCGGGGTCAACCATTCTTGCCTTAGCTAAATTCTTATGTTCCGACAATCTGATTACCCCCGATCTACTAGTTTGACATATATAGTTGATCTCAGTCATTGCAGGGTATTTTGTAAATTATATTATTTTGTTTAATTGGGTTCACCGGGTCTTTTAGCCTACAGAGCTTGTCTCTGAGTAAGTTTGTAGGTTTGAATGCCGCCCTAATTCCTGCTTTATTAAGAATCCTACGTAGGGTCTCAGATGTCCTCTCCTTATATGGTATAACAGTAGATGCCTTATATTTTCTTATTTATGTTGTCGTTATTAGTTTCACCATTATTTTTATTTTGCTTTTGGCCTTTACTGATCTTCCTAATGAATTTTATAGGATAGTTATTTGACACCAAAGCTACCTCTATTTGTTTTATTTCATCATTTAGGTCTTTTCTTGTACTACTTAGTGCTACTGCTCGGTTTGTTAGAAACTTAACTAAGCCTGCCTTAACAGTTAACGGATGAGATGAATTAAAGTTTAAATATCTATTGGAATGAGTTGGTTTTTTATAAACGCTAGTGCGTAGTTTGCCTTCTTCTATTCGTTTTATTTTACAATCTAACATAGCTAATTCTCCTCGTTTATTTTCCGATTCAAATGTGAATTTTATTCCCTCTAGTAGGGAGTTTATATGTGTCAAGAAGCTAGAGATATGTTCTGTTTTTAACACTGTGAAAGTGTCATCCACATATCTCCACCATATTTTTGGAGTAGGATTAAATGTATTAAGAGCAATATTTTCCCAGCTGTCCATAAATATATCCGCTACAATAGGGGATACTGGTGATCCCATTGCCACACCTTCTGTTTGTCCATATATTTTCCCTTGGAATTTAAAGATAGTAGATATGAGGCATAACTGAATCCCTAAAATAATTATATTCGTAAAGTCAATCATTCATCAGAATTAGTGGATCCTATGACCAGTATTCATACATATCCTGTTGAATGATTTTAGGCATATACAATAAAGGGATTAGAATGGTGTATGTCTATAGCCACTGTTATGGAAAACTGGGACTTTTTGCAGCATATTAGAGACATATACCCTACGTTATTCGTTTTTATCATACATTAAACATACTATGAATGCCACTTTTACCTAGAAGCACATGATTGGCCGGCTCAAGGTTATTTGACTGTTGCCCTCTTGCTTAAGCCCACTGAAGCGTCCTTTTGTTGTTCAGTAAGGTTTGAAAAAGTTATATTTTTGGCGATAGGGGATTTGTTTACAGAATTTCTGTGTTAAACATCTCTTTAGGCCAATAGTTTATACGCATTTTTATCTCGTACCTATTATTTATTGTAGGTTACACATAATGATTTTCATAAACCCAGGTGTGTATGTAATAACACCAACAAAAATTGTGTTCAAAGTACAAAACACCTTAGTCCACACCACCTCCAAATTTCTAACACTAGATCTTAGTTGTTGTTGTTGTTATTATAAAAACGGAATTTATATATGAAGTTGTGTAGGAGGTAGTATATATTTGTTCACAGATGACACTATTCATGCCTTTATGTCTGTTAGATAAAAGTAATGTGGATTAAAAATGTTTATGTATAACTTCTCCAATAATATTTTAGTTTTGGGTAAATCTGAATGTATTGCATGCTGTACTAGTGACCTTATGAATTTGTATTGAACGTCTGCAATAAAATATCCGTAATCTTTGATATTCCATCACTAAATCTAACTGTATCTGAATCCTAGAGTGCGATAAAAAGGAAAAAAATAATTACACCTTCAGAAGGAGATTCTGAATATTACTAGTCTTGGTAATAGTGTTACTGGAAGATGATGTGGCATAAGTAGCTTATATTGCTGAGACTTTGTATTTGAAAAGGTACAGTTGTGTATATGTTTCACGTCCGATCACGGGTCGATGTCAGTTAGAAAACCATTGAAAACTAACAGGGAGTAAATTGGACAACTGTTTACTCCTGGTTTGGGATTCTTCAGCAGTACTTTACAAGTGACCCCATTAAATTTCAAACATCAGACCTTCGATTCGCGATTGTTAGCGCCACCTCCAGCCAGCGCTGTCGACTAGTATTTTTCCTCACACCCTACCTGGTGGATCCGACTGATGATAATTTCTAACTAGAACTCCAGGCAAATTCGTCCTGTAGTCAGTCACTAGTGAACACCAGACTAATTTTCAAGAGTTAGTTTGTATATATATGATTTGTTTCAAGCTCAGGTGATCATTTGGGCAGACAAAGAAACAAGAAGATGCTTGCAATTGCAGAGGCTTGTGCAATTTGAGTTTATAAACCAGGTCTCTGTGTACTTTTGTACCTGGTCGTGACTCCGAATCTACCATGGTAATACGTTTTACTTATTATTCTACCTCTTATTATTATTGATTCATTTAAAACTATCTTTTATCAGTAAAATTACCTTAACTCACTTCAACACATTATTATTACTATTGTTAGTATAACTATTACTATTGATATTACTTTGTTTGCAATTCTTGTTATGTTCTCTAATGTCTAATTGTTCATCTAAGTGATGTAATTGAAGCGAAATGCAATTTATCGTAATTTTGACCTCTCATACTCTCTCTCCCCTTATCTATTCAAACATGACCTGGAAAACATTCGCACCTGTCTTTCTGCATGACTAATTCAATGTAGTTTGTTTACTTATCAGTCTTATATTTCCCAATGTAATTTCAAAAGTATGTATATATCCGTGTATGTAGAGTATTCAGCTGACGAGTTCTACCGAAATTTGATGAATTCATTAAATCCTGCTATATTAACCTTTATTGCTTGTTTTAAGTTCATATCGGGAAATAAATGTTTTAAATTCATTTTTCAAGCATTGATATTTGAATACAGACTAGATGAGTTCTTCAGCGCTTAGTGAAACATCCCACTGATAGTATTAATAATGAAGTTTACTTTGATAATTCTCTTAACTTCTCGAGAATCCATTTACT